ATTGCTCCTATCTACAAAACAGGCTTGGCACCACAGCCCTGAAAGGACAGCACACTCTTCATAGAGGTACCAGGAGCTCGTATCAAGGGTGGGGGTACAGTAGAGTCCGATCCCTAAAGATGAAGGTTTACATTATAAACTATTTCACACCCGATCACTGTGTCAGGGACGCCGAACAAAGCTGGGGTGGGAGGGGCAGAGTTTAGGGATTCTGGCGGAGCTTAGATAGCATATGGCTGCTTCCCTCGTCCATCAGACCCATGAACATACCAGTCACTTTGTATTTACCAGTGACTTGCTTATGGCTTTGAACTTGTAGAAGGTTTCATTGTGAGAAGCATGTTTGCTTGGACCACTGAGTGATATGCCTAATTTTTCCAAAAGGAACAGAGGGTCTTTAGCTCCCAAAAGGAGAGGGGCAGAAGGGACACTGGTGTAACATCCTGACAAAGATGTGTGTAATTTCCCACCCAAGGTGGACAGAAGAGGCCGTGGAGTTGGATGCTGTCAGAGATGGGCAGAGGAGACCTAGGTGTCATTCTTCACTGGAGAGCAGAGGCAATGCTCCGTTTAGCATCTCAGCTGTTTGGTCACTGCTATTTGTTGCCTTTCCCCGCTGAGTCCGTGGGCATGGGCATGGGCAGATGAGAGCAACAGAGAGATAAAGAGGGCACTGAAAGAGCTGCTGCTTGTAAGCAGACAGCCCTGACCCTGCAGGCAACCCGAGTCAGCTGGAAGTAATCAGATAACCAGGGTCAGCCTGTGGGTGGGCACAGGAGAGGTAATTAGCTGGCTTGCTTGCTGTCTTGACTTCTGATACTTATGCTTCAGCTGCTTCATGGCAACTCCTCATGTGGTAAGTGAACACTAAACTGGAGCAGTGTTTGGTGTTCAGTTCCTGTGGGTCAAGAGCAGGCACATGGATAATTACCATGGAGCAGCTGATAGGTGGTATGTCCTTGCCCGTTTAACTCACTGTCATCTGTTCATAGGTCCATACCCCAACCCAAGTCTGCAGTCTGACTTGCCAGGCAAAGGAAGTCTCTAGAGGACCCTGCAGGGAGGGGAAAGGCTTCCAAAGAGCCATACTTTGTGCAAATACAACTCTAGAAGAGTCAGGAAGCTTATAAAGAAAAGTAGGACAGATATAGGTGTGTATGCAAACTGAGAGATGCACCCTCAGCAGGGGGTGGTGCCAGAACGGTTTGGCTACAAAGGAAACAAAGCGGCTGAAGGGACCATGTGACCAACACCAGGAAAGGGAGTGAGAGATGTGGAGGGAAACAACATCTGACCTTACACACCCTTTCTCTATCACTTGGCACATTCACCTCCCCTACCCAGTGCCCATGTCAGGGTTCACCAGCACTTGCATATTTCTGAATGCCCTCCCCCACTCAAGTAATTAACTAAGTAGCGATTATCCAAAAGCCTTGAGTGCCCTGATCTTACCTCAGCCAGCTCAGAGGAAAAAAGGCTCAGCACAGATGTTCTTTCCCTTTGTAGGGACGAAGAAAACAAGAGACAGCAGGCACGTCTACATGTGCACTTTAATGTGCAGTAGCCTATTCTAATGAGCATTAAAGCCTCACAGCAAAAACAGTACTAATATGCTAAAGTGTAGTAGAATTAGTCTACCGCACATTAAGCATCACTAAAAAGGCATTCACTTTTGCTACTGTGCATCAGGGCAGCCTAATGCACCATTATGTAGTACCTCATATTAGTGGTACTAAAATTAATGCACAGTAGCAAAAGTGTGTCAATGAACACACAGATGTGCCCAGTGTGATTCTGTCCCTCAGTTCTTTATGGGCAATGGGAAGAGGAGGAGGGCCTGAGGGAAGGGGTCTTGCTCACCTATTTAGGATGCTACTCATCAGCAGAGCTGTCTTGTGGGCAATGCAACCTGTCACAAGGCACAAGGCTACTGGGGGCATAAATAAGGTTTGGTTCGGAGCCGGCAGCAATGCAGCTATACTCATAAGGTGCAGCGAGTGGGTGAATTAGCCATGTTTCTTACCAGAGCCAACTAGCCTGTCTTTAGCATTACACTAACACAGTTACACTGTTTCCTGTTCAGGACATGGAGTGGGCAGGGTGTTTCTCAGCACAGGTCTGCCTCACACCTTATAGGCATACTTTTACCATGTATCTGCATAGCATGAAGTGACTCTGCAGCATTACCTTGTACTTCCTCAGATAGAAGCAGGGTGGAGGAAGGGTAGCCAGGCTGATTAGCTCAAAGAAGAAGAGTCCTGATGAGAGGTTGGGAGGCGGGGGGAGGCTCTGTGCAGGCATCCTTTGGAAACCTCACCCAGGGCAGGACAGTTTCATAGTAGATTCCTGCTTCTCACCCAGTTTGAGGTCATGAAAGTGTTTTGCCCCAGGACAGAATGGCAGGGACATGTGGGGATTTCTGCTTTCCTCTCTAGCATAGGGTATTTACCTGCTGGGGTCAGGTGAGCTCATGTCACTTAATTCCATGCCATTACAGGTAAGGCCACATTACTGAAAGGGTGGGATCAGTACGCCAAGCCACAAGCCCCAGTACAAGCACTCCTTCCTTTTCTTTTGTGAACCAGGGGAGTAGACTTCTTTCCTGGATTCCTCTGCTGATTCACAAAATGAGAAAGCAGAGACAGCTGCCACAGGCACTTCAACCAAAGATATGCTGAACTCAGTGGGCTCCCATGGGACAGAGGGCCCTATGCTCTGGTTAAATTAACATATGAATTAGTCTGGTTCTGGTCACAATGGCCTGGACTATTGCTGGGGCATTGATCTTTCCTGTTTTCCAACTGTAGAGGTTTAGGACCTCTTAGGACCAAAATACTTTCCCTATCTAATACTGTGGATATGTCCAAGGGTATTTGAATGGAATGGCTTGTAACATCCAGGAGGTCGGACTACATGCACTCATGGTCTCTTTTGGCCTTAATCTCTGAAAAGTTCTGGAGGAGTTAGCCTCTCAGGTGCCACCCTACCCTGCCTTCTGCATGAGATACTATGAGAAGAGGGTGGAAGGTCATCACCATTAGATGTCTTGGAATAAATACCCTTCCTAGGCTGTGTCAGGCCTGGAGGAAGAGGGTAGCCCAGTCCAGGAAAGATATTTGCTGTAGAATATATCTCAGTGGCACGTGCCTCAGAACTTTCCCTGCACCATCACTGTGAGCAGGAGGAGAGTGGGATGGTGTTGAGCACCAACTCCTACAGCACCACCTGTCATCAGCAGGCTGACTACAGAGAGAGTAGGCAGAGAAACACAGGCCAGATCTAGCCCACAGGCTCCTGCCAGCACAGCCACGTGATCCCCACTTGCTAGAGCTGAGCTGGCAGAAGCCCCACACTGTGAGTGCAGGTGTGCCCTTCCTTTTATAAGCATGGCTTGTACCATTTTGGGACATCCAGGAGTTCATGATACTGGTAAGAAGCACAGCTTTGCTGTAGGAGCATTTTGCTGGCAGAGCAGACCAAGAAAGCTCTCCTTATGTGAAAGAAAGCTCTCCCTCGGGCCTAGCAGCTCATTTGGCTATGATGCTTCAGGGTAGGTTCACCAGCTCCTGAAGCCCACAGTACACCAGGGAGTGATGTGGCTGGCAACCCATCCAGTTGCCATTGATTCCTCAGCCTGAACAACCATGTAGCCATTTACAGCCAGGCCAAAGGGCCTTCAGCACAAGTCCTGAGCAGGACTCAAACTCATGGCACTGTTGGGTAACACCTTAACTACTCTGCCACAATGGCCTAATCCAATGGCTGGGACTCCTCAGCGGCCCTAGCTAGGCCTAGGATGTTCAGCTCCTAAGATCAGATGAGACCAGTTGCATTCGATCTGGTACAGCCATAGGCAAACTCCTAATGCAGACATAGTTGTATATAGTGACAATGCCCTGCCTTTTTAAAGTCAGCCAGGGATTGAGTCAAAGAGAGGTGTGATGAGCCCATACACAAACTCTCTGCAGCTGGTATCACAAAGGACAGCCCGTTTGTTCCTTGCCTGTCATCCCAGCTCCAAGCTCCTCTGGAGAAGAATGTAACTTCTCCCACCTAGAATAAGGCAACCTGGAAGAGGGGGGATTGAGTCTCTTTGTAATGCTTTGACGGATCCTCTCCAAGTTCCTAGCCCAGGTTTTGGAACTACCTAAAAAAGAGCCAACCCAAGGACTTTGCTCCAGATTTTATTCAGAATCTAGTGGGTGATGGGACAGGGACTTGGAAGGTCTGTGCGCAGACACATTGCAGTGTAGAGATCAGTAAAGCACAGTGCAGCAACCGAAGCTCTGAGCTGCTGGTGTCACAACAAGAATGGCCACAAAACCCTGTTTTTTGGTTGCATAATTAACAAACACCCTAGAGCTGGGGGCTTTGGCAGTAGAAAGCCTGGGGTTTATCTCCTATTGTGTGTCCTCCCCTCACCTTGCCATGTTCTTCTACCTGCTGTGCCCTCACACAAACACACACACATGCATGCATACACTTACAGAGCAGAGCTGAGCTAAGAGGATTACAGAACTATTATGTGATGTTAAAGTGACAGCCGCCTCAAAGTAGGATACAATAGTGGCATGGAGTGGAAGGTTGATCTCCCTGTTATTGCTCATCCCCAGCCCCTGCTACAGGAAATCCTCAGTCCAGCCCCAGCCCCAATGCTTTCAGGGAAAGCTTATCAAGGGGGGTGACTGCCTTCACACAAGTCCCTTTCTTTATTCAGCCCACTGGTAGCAGGGCAGGGGCATGAAGACTGGCATCTTAGGATCACAGGAGGTGGTAATAATCAAATTAATTGAGGCTCTTAAAGGGGAGGTTTAAATTCAGGTAAAAGCTCTTAAAGGTAAGGGTCACTGACTTAAAGATGATCATCCAGTTGACATGGGAGTCCACTATTGATTAGGTATAGACGTACATTTTCATTGGCATTGATACATTTACTCATGATTATTTTTCCTTTCTCTCTCTCTCTTCTCCCTCTCACGCTCTTCTTTTCCCAAGTGCAGCAGGAGCTCCCAGCTCAAGTCAATGCCTCTGCTTCCCCTGCCCCTGTGCTGACCCGAGATGTGCTCCACAACAAGATGGAGGAGCTGGAGGAGCAGCTCCTTTCCAAGATAATCTCCCTGCAGAAGGAACGCTTGGGCAGCAACAGCAATCACGACCAGCAGCGGCATGACATCGAGAAGGAGCTGAGTGCTCTGCAGAGCCGGGTCACTGAGCTGGAACAGGGTCAGTGCTGGCAGGTGAAACTGGTTAAGCCATGGCTGCCTTCAGACTCTCCCCACCCTGTGCAGTGTGTGCACATATGTGGGAGTCTCATTGCACTTAGTCAAGAAGAGAGGGAAGATGCCCTGGGCTAGTGCTGAACCCAGTCTGGATGCTTCAGATAATGATTATATCTCAGGATGTCTGGCTCTGAACAAATACAGGGGAGACACAGTCCATAGCCTAAGGAGATCACTATCTAAATCAGGCATGGCCCATGCCATTCAAATACAGGGCACAGAGTCTGAAGGACCGTGCAAGAAGCAGCATGGATTTCCTCTCAGATGTGCCATGCAGGAGGTGACTGCTAATGCAGCTATCTGGTTGTGCAGTGGTATTCCAGCCAGGCCCAGTCAATGTCACAGAACCACCATTGTTAACCTTGGTGAGGGCTGAGTTGGTGTTGGGCTTGAAGCATAGGCAAGATGGTGCGGAGCTGCAGTTGCTGTTAGCAGCCGTTGTCAGCAGTGGTTTCATTATGTACTGTAGACTTTAGCTTGGGGTTGGTTTAATTCTCAATGCTTCCATGTATTACTGTGTCTCCCTGCTTACCAGCTCCCACAGGTATTCACCTGTTGCCCTGTTTCTCTTCTCTCCCTCCTCTGTGGGCACCAAGGAGCACCAGCCTACAACCCTCCCGATGCTTTCAAGGTTACCATCCCTGTCCAGACCAACTACATGTACGTCCGGCTGAAGAAGAGCCTGCCAGAGCTCTACTCCTTCACGGTCTGCATGTGGCTGAAGTCCAAGGCCTCATCGGGGCTGGGAACACCATTCTCCTACTCTGTCCCTGGGCAGGCCAATGAGATTGTGTTGCTGGAGTGGGGGCACAACCCCATGGAGCTGCTCATCAATGACAAGGTCAGGAGGGGCAAGGCCTGCCCAGGCGCACTGGGAGCTGAGGCTGAAGGAAGCACTTACTCCTCCCTGCCTTGTCTGGGGAGGAAGCGCCCTTCGTCCTCCCTTAGATATGAATGACCCCTTGTCATCTTTGCCCTGGGGAGGGGAGGAGTTATGTCTGCCAGATGTACACAGAACAGCTCTGTGCCCTTCTTCTGCAGCAGCCTGACAGAAAGGAAGTGAAAAGGATTCAACTTTTCAAACCAGAATGTCACCCAGATCCTGGAGTTTCTAACTCAGACACATTGGCCACCCACTCCTGTTCTTTCCCTCCCCTGATCTCTCATCCCACTTTTCCCTGCCTCTCCTATGCTCTTTCTCTCCCTTCTTTCCCTAGCATTTCCTCTCCTTTCATCTCCTCCCTACTCCTCATCTTTTGAGGCACAGTGCTGTGCACTGACCCCTCTCTCCATACCTCCAGACTCCCACCCTTGGGGAGAAGGCTGCTGTGTGTCACAGCCAGTGCCAGAGGGTCTATGCAAGACTCCTTCTCATGTCTTCCCACAGAAAATGCTTCCTGGGAAGCCTCACTGAGAAGTAGCCACATCACCTGTCTCTGGAGGCATGTGGTGGCTTCCAGGCAGCCCCATAACATACCTGCTTCTGTTTCTGGGTCTTTAAGGTCGCCCAGCTGCCCCTGAATCTAAAGGATGGGACCTGGCACCACATCTGCATTGCCTGGACCACTCGAGATGGCATGTGGATGGCATACCAGGATGGTGAGCAGCGTGGGTCCAGTGAAAACCTGGCAGCCTGGCATCCCATCAGACCACAGGGGGTGATTATCCTGGGACAAGAACAGGTATGTGCAGCTGCCTCCCTGCAAGATTGGTTATGTAATATGCTTGGCCCATTCAGGGGGTATTTGGAAGTCCCCAAAGGAGAGCTTCACAAGACTGGGGTAGGGGAACTTCTTATGGCTTCCTCACAGGCTGCAGCTACCACCCTGTTGTGAGCTGATAAGAGTCACTGCTGGCTGATGTAAAGTGCCCCCTTCCTACTGCCACTCTTTAGAGGAAGATTGGAGCATACTTCCTCGGGCTCCCCAAGTTCTCTTCAGAATAATCCTCCTGGTTTCTCCCAGGATAAAGTGCAGCCCTAGCCCCCATGGGGAAGTTTAGCTGGGAATTTACGTAGCAAGCAAGCATAATTCATGGGGCATGTTTATGATAACAGCATCTCAAAAGATCATTCCTGTAGATTGGGAAAAGGCTCCCTAAGGAATCTACTGTTGGGAGCAGCCTAATGGCCACATTCATGTACAGTATCCCTTCTCTCCTTTTTTCCCTTTCTCTCCCCGACCCTCTTTCATATATTCATTTTATTACTTGCCACCTCATTTCCTTTGATGTTTTTCTCCATTTCTTCCCGTGTTTCTATTTTCTCTTTTCTTTTCTGCATTTTGTCTTCTCTGGGCTCTCCCTTTTTCAATGTGTGCCTCATCCCCCACAATATCTTTCTCTTTCTCTCTCCTCTTCTCCCTTTGTGCTTCTCTTTTCCTGTGTCCTGCCCTCCCAATCTCCATACACCCTGATCCCAATGAACAACAGGACACACTGGGTGGCCGATTTGATGCGACTCAGGCCTTTGTTGGTGATATTGCTCAGTTCAACCTATGGGACCACATCCTGACGCCCACAGAGATCCGGGGCCTGGCCAACTGCACTTCCCATCTTCAAGGCAACGTGATCCCGTGGGACGATAAACTGGTGGAGGTCTTTGGAGGAGCCACCAAGTGGACCCTCGAGAGCTGTGAGGAGAGGATGAAGGCATGAGGCCCCTGGCCCCACCCATGGAAAAGGGCATGACAGTGACTTCCCCTCTTTCCCTGCCACCTAAGTAATGAGGCAGCAGGAGTCCCCCTTTCTTCCCAAACAGAAACATCTGGGGTTCTGGATCTGCTAGGGGAGAGGGGTGGAAGGGGACAGAAAACCATCTGTACACACAGAAATTGTGACGCTCTTTGTTTTGTTGCTCCAGTTAATTCCTAGTTGACCCATAACAAGCAAGTGGCAAGCCCCTCCATCAGCTAGGCTGGGTGGGTAGGGGACAGCATCCAGACCCTGGGCAAAGACACCAGCAAGAGGTAGATCAAGCATGAAGAAGGGGAAGTCATGGGTGAGCTGGGGATGCCTTGAGCTGACATATCTCTCATCTCTGTATGTTCCACTAGGAGCACTGCGGTGAGTCACCCACCGCTAGCTATCTGTCCCACGATCCCTGCATCCCAGCCTCCCTCTCATCCCATCAGCACGGGTGCCAAGGAACACCTGCGTACTAGACAGCCCTGAGCAGGTTTTTTTGTGTCTTCACATCAAAATGGGCCAAACTTGGTGCAGTGAGGCTTGGCTTCCCCATGCTGCCTCAGGGGACTGGGTTGTGGATGCAGCCCTCTAACCTGAGCTGGGAACTGGGGTATCTGCATCCCTTAGGTAGCTTGGAGAAGCTCAGCCTTAATATCTGCCACATAAAAATGTTGTATAGCTTTACCTGTGAGGGACAAGAACAAGTCTCTTGACAAAAGTCTAGAAAGCTCTCTCATTCCTGTGTGTCTTTTATGGTATGTGATAGTTAATTCTTGCCCCTTTGATGTCTTGTACCTTTAAGATCCCCTTTAAGGACCACTGTTAGTGCAACTCAGAGGGGCCAGATTCATTTCAGTAGCCCACAGCCTAGTTGAGGTTTCCCAGTGGCACCAAGTCAGCCTGAAGAAGGGTAGAGTGACACAAGGAGCTCCCAACCTGTCCCCTGCTTAAGGGCTCAGTCCAGTCTCAACAGGGTCTGCTGCTGGCTCAGGGAAGAGGGAGAGAAGAACAGGTCTGGGGCAACCTCTACAGTGCTAGAGCCTCTAGTGAATAGTGGCTCTGCCCTCCTGTTGTGAAGTCCCCAGGGAAGGACAGCAGTGTATACCCCTTTCTTTCCCCAGGAAACAATCTCATCCCTGAATGTGGTGTAATTTGCATTTGTTTGCAGCTCCACAGGGTAAATCTGGCCCTGAGCAAAAAATAGGGACTGTGTCAAGCATTTATTAGGTACCTTTGACTTCCTCCCTTGCACTCTTGTCCCTAGTCTGTCCTGACCAAGGATACTTTTAACATTCCAAACCTCTGAGGAGATTTAAAGAGATGCCTTTGAAAAACCAACCAACCTGCCAAGAAGCATTCCTGTTCCTCCATGTCCTTGGTATGGAATATACTTCCAACTCCAAAATCACACAGATGGAGGCTCTGGATGCCTGATGACAATGTCCAGTGTTTTGGAAAGACTTGAGTGAAAGCCAGATGCTTTTACTGCTCAACAGGAGTGTGGAACCACTTCCGTTTCCAACCCTCATAGATCAGGAGGTGTCTTGATGTCAAAACCATGTCACAGTTGTGTATTTAAAAGGTTTTTAATGTTATCAGCTCCCTTTCTCCTCACTTCTTTGGTCAGTGGCTCCAGTAGGTCACAATGGCCCAGAGAGGAGGGACCAGCTGTGGGACAGCACTGCTTTCTCAACCAGAGACACAAAAGGGCCATTTTCCTCACTTTATCTAGGCAGAGGGAGCAGTGCAAGAAATACCTCCCATAGTATTCTTAGTAACTCCCTACCATTTCTGTGCCATGTAGCCTATGCAGAAGACGTGATGTAGTGGTGTGAGCTGAATGTTCTAGGAGTGCTGAACTGGGTTGACTTGAATAACTCAGGCAAAGCCAGGGCATCCAGGAATAATGCAGGCACTGCAGCTCCCCACTGACCAAATCTGTATGCCACACTGCCATATATTGCTCTTCTCTGCTATATGTTTTCATATCCACTGCATGCCTAGAGAGCCTGGCCCCAACCCAGCCCAGGCATAAGATAGAGCAGTTTGATGGAGTTTCAGATCCAGACCTGATTCAGTTTGAATAAATTGGTCAATGAATGGGTGAAGTGTAGAGAGCTGTGTGTTTGCCCTGAACTAGTCACAGAGCAGATTGTCAAGTCTGGGGCTGCAGCTCATTGACATGTCCCCATGCCAAGAGGTCTTCCCCCATTCCCACCCATGGAGGGAACATGATATTTCTCACTTCCAGGCAGGACTAGGAAGCATGAGGATGGAGAGGTGAGGGTAATCCCAACTCCTGACCCTTGAAACAGGTGCTGGACCCAATTCTCTTCCTCCTCATGCTAGCCCATTCAAGCTTCTTCAACAGAGAGAGAAATCCAGCCCTTTCAGGTTTCAAGGACTCTGAACCTAAGTCCTTCTCCTGAATCAGGAGCCACCTGCTGCTGGAAAGGCTACAGGTATAACCCCCAGTGGGAGGAAAACAAAGCAAGACATGGCTCCCTCCTCCCCCCACATCTCTAGGTTGCAAATAGAGACTCTTCTGAAATTGATCCAGCACGTTTCCTCTTTCCATATGGCCTGCACCTTCCATCTCCCCTCCATCCACTCTTCTACTCTTCATGGCAGGAAGGGGGTAGAGACGTTATTTTCGTCTGGTTGCCTGTTGTGTCTGCTCACCTGAAGTCTGCCTTGCCTTCTGGTACAAGATCTTTGAGGTTTTGCCCACGCAACTCAAAGGTAGGTGGGCAGGGGGAGAAAGGACATGCTAACAGTGCTGTGTTCATGCCCAGAGCACAGGCTGATCCTCTGAACTGAGCAAACTAAGGGACAGGGAAAAGGCTTTCTTCCCTTGTACATGCTGCTTTGATCATGGTTATGAGCCTGTTATTGGCAGAGGACACTGGAGAGCAAAAGAGAGAGTAGAAGGTATCTAAGCTGAATTCACAGGGGCCTAAATATATAAGTTAAAGGGAGCAGTAGATCTGGGCTGAGGGGTCTGCCTGTTCCACATCCCTGTTCCTTACCCCTTGCCTGTGGAAGAAGCTTGCCTGTCCCCTTTTCTGTCCTGCTCCTTGAACTGTTCTTAGATGCCACAGAAGAGGGGTGGGTGGGCAGTAATGGACTTTCCCCAGAGCGCAGGGTGGGACTCAGCAACTTTCAGGGGAAGGAGCTGCTGGCCTCGAAGCTGGAGGCAGGGGAGGCTCATATTCCCTAGGAGTGCCTGATAACACATTTCCACGCTGCGTGAAGCCACTGATGTCTACGTATATGTGTATGGGGCATGGGGTGGGGGTGGGAGGGGTTACTTTGGGGTCTTGTGATCACTCGTGTGTCGTGTTCTGCTTTCCCCTACCCAAATCCCCTCACATTCCCTGTGTGAGGGTTTGACACTGGATCTTTTCCCTGCTCTCTCATCTAAATAGGGAAGGGGAGCAGAGTGGGGGAGCATAGGTAAATATATTGTTATTCCCTGGATCATTTCTAGTGTCTGTTCTCACTGGATCTCCTGCCTCTTCTCTGACTGCCCTGTGCCAGCACAGGAGGAAGGGCACAAAGGGCAGAAAGAGTCATTGTTCCAGTTGTAAAACACTGTGATCTTAGTGCACCATGAGTGAGAGAAAACATGCGCCTGCTCCATGCCAGGCTCTCTCCCTCTCTTTTGTACATCTGTGAAACGGGACTCATCATACGCACGCGTGTATGTATCGTGTATATATATATTTTTTATGTAAATCCAATTGTTGACAATAAACGTGATGGTTACATTTGATTCGGTCTTGAAGTCATCTGGTGGGCCTTCCCTCTTGTGCACAAAGGTTGTGGGGGGTAATCCCAGACAGCATCTAGACAGACTAGTTGTACTAATTGAACAAGGGAGGTGTAGTAGAACCCACGTACTTTTCAGGGCTAGGTTCCTAACTTCTCATGTGCAGAGAAGGGTTTAGGAAACACCTGGGGGTTTACAGAGCCACAGCCAAAAGCTGCCATGGGACTGCTGAGATGCTCTAGCTGTTTGCTGAAGCTTTTATTTCAAATGCAAGACATAATGCCCTAACCTGCCACAGGTAAAGATGGGAAACCATGGTGGCCAACATCCTGCTGCTGCAAAGGTTGTGAAAATATGCATGAGAGCTCCCAAGAAAAGGGCCATGCCCTCAGCTACAGAGGAATGCAAAACCCCCACAGTCCATACCAATCTGACCATGGGGTACAGTTCCTTCCTGACCCCAAATATGGCAGTGCGTCTGACCCTAAGCAGGGAGACAAGACCGCCTAACCAGGAACCTCCAGGTCTAAGTCTCAGCAGGAGCATTGGCCCACCCCAGTCACAATTCCCAGTTTTGGCTGCAGCCAGTACCCAAAGCCTCTGATGAAAGCTTAAAAAACCCTTATGTATACAGCAGCCCAGCAAGGAGGAAGGGGAAGAACAAGAATTCCTAGTACCTGATAAAAAGTAGGCAGGAGTCAGCGATGTTTTGGGGTGAAGGACAATGCTTTAAAGGAGATTAGCTCCATGTACTGCCATGACCAACCCAGCCCACGCTGCTGCCACCACAGCCACTGCTCTGCCTCCTACCTCTCTCAATGCCACCATTAATGCTTCTCACTGCTGCCCAGACACTGCACAGGCAAAGCACCCCTCCATCAAAGCTGTCTACAACAGTTCCCTGACACCGAAGATCCACATAAGCCCCTGGCTAGCCTGGTTCTGGCCTCCAGGCCAGAGTTTGCTGACCTCTGCTCTAACGCTAATCTTTGAGGTGAGGGAAATACCTTTACAGAAATGACAAGGGTTCACCTTTACTAAGCAGATACAGGCTGCTGGCATGAAAAACTGGTGAAGTTTACCTGGAGAAGAAGCAAACAGAAAGCTGAGGGTTGTCAGGGAGCTTTTAGGCTGGGCAAAGATGACTGTCAGGAATGTCAGTGCTGCAGTCGGGGCTCTGTTTAACAGAAGAGAAAACACAGAGGTATGAAGGAGAGGCCTGTTGCAATCAGAGAGGTACCTTCTGGGAAAATAACAGGGTGTCAGGTACAAGAGGGAGGTATCAATAAGTGCACAGTCACTGATAAGTATTGTAAATAGTTCTGTGAGAATGGGGGGAAGCTTAAAACACAAGACAGCAGTGAACTCCAAATCCTTGACATAAACAGAGAGTTCTGAACTGCAGTGAAATCAGAACAAATCCACAAGATACTGCTTTGCTTGGGGGAAAGCCAGACAGGAGGGACTGCATCAGCTATAGCGATCTGGGAGGGGAATGTGATTACTAAAATATCGTATGGGATATAAAGAGAACATTTCTGCATAAAGATGCCCCTACAATGGCTCTGTAGGAATGCATACCCTAATGATGCTCAATTTTTTTGGCTCAGTGGGGCCAGATGCATGGTATGGGGCTGGTCCAGTGGATCAGCACCTGGATTGGGTCCCACACACCCAGATCCAGCCTTACAGTGCCTAGATTCTGCCTTCTGCCACCCAGATAGGGCTCCAAACTGCCCAGATCCTGCCTTGCGTTGCCTCATTCACACCCAGATCAGGCCCTGTGCCATCCAGAAAAGGTTCCTTGCGTCCAGATCAGGTCCTGTGCCACCCCAGTCCCACATACCCAAATTGGGGCCTATATTACCTGGGTCTGTGTGCCCAGTCTAGCACACGGGGCCATGCTATCCAGCCCAAGGGCTCCCCATGGGTCCAGAACTTTGGCAGTCAGGGGCATGGCAATTAACACTGCCACCTTTCCCCCACCATCACATTTTCAGACCCTTGGGGAGTTCTGCAGGCTAGATGACATGGTTCAGTGGGTTAGGTCTGGCTTGTGGGGGTCAGGGTTGAGCACCTCTTTTTAAAATTATAAATATAGTAGGTGAGTTTTATTACCAATCTCTGAATCAGAAACTAGCATTGGGTATGACATTATGGAAGCTCAGGTGAGTTAGAAGCCAAATACAACAGTAATATTAAGCAATGTTAGTTACCCAATGGAAACGGGTTATAGGGGGACTGCAGGAACAATTTCTTGGACCAATTAGTTCTAGCCTAAACAATAGCTGGTTCTTTATAAAACTCTTTTCCTTACTATTTCTTGCCACCCATATCAGTGGTACAGATCAACCATGTCAACAGTGGTGGGATGGCCACTATCAAGGAAATGTTAGCATCAGCTAGACTTTTTTGCCATTGTGTCATTCAAATCTGTTTAGAATTGAGTTAGACAGGACTGTGGTTACAGTGTCAGCAGCTGGTCTTCCTCTCTCCCACTGCTGCTTCCCCCAGGGAGGTAGTGCCCATGGTCAAATTTTATAGTGGGAAGTTTTCAAAAGGCATCTAAGATAGGCCTAGCCTAGCAGGGGCTGCTTTCAATGGAGGCCTGACTCAACACAGTACTTAAGCACGCTCTTGCTAGAAGGCTGTGCTGAATGGATAGATTCTGGCAGGTGCATAAGTGCTTTGCTGAGTCTAATTCTTGTTCCTAAGTAATCAACAAGAGGAGATTCAAGAAGTAATGGTAATTGAATCACCACGTAATAATGATTACAGCAGAATGAGGGCAGTGCCCACTGTGCTGCCAAAGTTTGGAAATGGGAAATTAAAAATTAACAAGGAAATTGGTCCAAAAGATCAAAATGTCAAAAGCAAGGACATTGGAATTGCCTTGGAAATTAGCACGGATCGCTACCTCTCTCTGCTCCTAAAGGCTTTGGGAATGAAATCCTGGATCTGCTGAAGTCATTAGCAAGACACTCATAAGAGGCACAGGAGGCATGTGTGCCCCTAAACAGCAAAAGAAGAAGAGGATATCAGGGAGGAAAGAAACCTGTCTAATGACCGGATTCAAAAGGTTATTTGAGCCAAACAGGAATCTGTCCTAAAGTGAAAAGTCAGCCTAAGTGAAAACAATAAAAAAGAGCATAAACCACCATAGGTAACATGTAAGATGAAAGTTAGAAAGGTTAGAAGTAACTAGAAAAGCAAATGGCCAATGACAGATATAAATAAAGCACTGGAAGTCTCCCAGGAACAAGAGTATTGGAGCATATGTTTCTTAAGAAACAGTAAACAGAATGATTAGGAAGACAAAGAAGAAGAGATGAGGCTAAATTTGTTTGTCATCAATCTTCATGGCAGACTACACTGGAGAAATCATCCCAGATTGACTTTCTCAGGTAACAAATATGAGGTACAATCAGAGACAAAGCTATCAGGAGAGGAGGCATGGGACCAAATGTAAGTTATACAAGGATGTTTCAGGAAGTAACAGCAAAATGGCTGTCTATGTCGCAGGTCTGTGATGAGGTCGAAAACTACACAGCAGTGGGGTATACTAGCGGCAGCATTGTCAAAAGCACCCACTGGTGACGTGTCAGGGGAGAGTGGCGGACAGGTGTTCCCCCAGATTTCTTCATCAACGGCAGGGCATGGGGCTGCAGCCCAGCCAATCACAACACCCAGCAGCAGCAGCAGCTCAGAGTGAGGCTGCAGCCCAGCTGGACCCAACACTTGGCAGCAACAGTGGCGATGACAGCAGTGGCAGTGGCGGTGATGTGGAGTTGTGCCCCCCCTCCCCCACTGTCAGCACTTATGCATCACCTATGAATGAATGAATGCACCCATTATTTATGACTATGTGGAGAACCAATGTGGTCCTGTAAATGATCGCTGCACACACAATAGTTTTATTTTGAAATCACCTTTAGTTTCTGAAACATCCTTGTAGGAAAACAAGTCACCAAACCCAGAAGAGATAACACTAAGGAGCTGGAAAGGGACTAAGTGGCTGAGCTGCTAACTGAACTATATAAACTCTTATTAAAATCAGTGTAAAGGACAAGGATGTAGGCAGCCTGCCCTCATGGTTAGACTGCCAAGGGAAAGCAGGGCCTGTGGCTGGATTGAAGCACAGAAGCCATATGCTAAAGCCAGAGGGAGATCCAGAAGCAGGGTCTATGACACAATCCAGAGTCAGGACCCAGGGATCAAATGCCAAGTACCAGTCCAGATGGCAATCCACAAAGCAAAGTCCCAAACCAGAGCCAAACCAGGATCAGGAGCCAGGAAACAGAACAGCAGGGAAATCCTAAACCAAAGTCCAGAAATAAGCCAAAAAACAGATTCAGGACCCAGAATGCAGGACTCAGGGGGCTTGCCACAGAAGAGCTGTTGGCTAGCCTGCAGACGGAGGGTCCCAGCTGGTGCTAAATGGATAGGTGGTGCTCCCAGCAGCCAATCAGGATGCCTGCTGCTCCTAAAATGAGGTACAGTTCATTAGCTGGAGTTTGCTGCAAGTATGGCTGCTGCAGGACCTGCCTGCTCAGAGTCTGCTGCACTGGGCCAGGGTGGCCTGCCTGATCAACATCCCTGACAGCCACTGTACAAAAGGAGGAGAGGGTTGCAAATGCACTTCTCTTTAACAAAAGGGAGTAATGAATAATTCTAGGAAAATTACAAAATCGGTGAGCCTTACCTTCAGTGCCCGATGACATGGTTGAAATATTCATTAGGGTAGAACTACAAAGAAACCTATAAATATTCCATGATAGAAATAAATCTGTGAAGGAAAATCAGATCACTCTAATCCAGTAGTTTTTGAACTGGGGGTGCAGTGGGTGCACGATGCTTTACCCAGGGCTATGTGCCTAAATTTTAAGGGTCACGATGGAGTTTCTGATTGGTCAACGTGCAATGAGTAACGGCATTGCCATATGTTGACGACAGTGAACATGCAGAGACATGCTGGGTGTACAAACAGCAGTGCCATAGCAAGA